TATTTCTCTCTATTGAAAAAAAAACAAATAAAAAAACCCTCTTTCTTACTTGCTTTTATGTGAAATAATTTCCCCCATTCTTTCTCTTCCTTCCCCCTTCTCCCAACACATCCCTCTTTCTCAGCCTCCCACTTTTCTTTTGAGATCATCCCTACATAATAGACTGACAACACTCATGCCCTCTGTTATCCCTAATGATGATAAAATTCTTGAGGGTTATATGTATCATCTTTGCATTTAGGTATGTAAATAGATGTATGGATAGATTCTATCTATAGCTATAGATAGATATAGAGAGCTATGAGATATCTATTTGTATAGAACATATCTATACAGATAGATAGATAAAATCCCATCTTCTATAGGAAGTCTTCTCCAACCTGTCTTAATTCTAGTACCTTCCCTCTGTTGATTATTTCCCATTTGTCCTGTATATATCTTGTTTGTACATAGTTGTTGAGTGTTGTCTCCCCCATTACAATGTGATCTCCTTTAAGACAGGGACTGTTTTTTGCCTTTCTTTACATCTTTCTTTACATCCCCAGTGCTTACTACAGTGCCTGACACGTAGTAAGTGCTAGATAATTGTTTTTCTTTTTTTTCTCTCTCTCTTTTTTTTTTTTGCTTAGGTAATTGAGGTTCAGTGACTTGCTAGTCACTTAGTGTCAAGTGTCTGAGGTCAGATTTGAACTCAGGTCCTCCTGACTCCAAGGCTGGAGCTCTATCCACTGTGCCACCTAGCTGCCCCTAGATAATTGTTTCTTGACTGACTGACTCATACCTACCATAAATTCTTTTCATTGACCTTTAGGTCATCTGCAACTTTGATTCTTTGGAGTTTGTGGTATTCCAAGATTTGCAACCATACAGACCCACTAGGCAAACATTTGCATTCCATTGCTTTTGTGGCAGGGAGAAGCTTGGAATTATTAAAAATAAAACACTATTTCCCAAATGTAAACCAAGCTCTTCTCATCTCCCTGTTCATTTCCTGACTAATTGTCCATGTCTCGATGTCTGGATTGACTAGTTCTAGAGACTGCCCATTGAACTTCATGTCATAGTCTAGATTATAGGCATTCCTTATTCATTTATTTTTTTCCAAGTTGATAGTTAAGCTGAACTCTTTTGAGTGATTATGTATCCTATTTTGGAGGCTTTGAAATGCTCTAAGGCTTGATATAATAAGCATCATGCCATCTTGCAAACAAGTATACAGAGGTACTCACAGTTTACATGTATTTGTTTTTTTATGTGTCTACATATACTAGTACTGACTTTCATTTTTATGTTGTGCTCAGATACCACCTCCTCTGTGAAATCTTCCCTGATACCCCACACTATTGTTAATGGCCTCTCCCTCCACAAATTAGTGGGAGTTGACTTATTTGAGTACCAAACTGCTTCCTTTCAGTAAAATGTAAAATCCTTGAGGCCAAGAACTAATTTATTTTGTCTTTGTATGCCTAGTACCTAGCACAGTGCCTTCCTTGTACACAGTAAACTCTTAATAAACATTGACTTACATTAAACTTATACATCTCCTATTCATGATTTCTAACCTATTAACCTTGGGTGTCTTTCCTGCCATTGCTAGTGGTTCTCCATTGTCAGCCCTTGCTAGCTCTGATTTTCATTCATTTCCCTTATCCTCAAAGTGTTCTCTTTGGATTTCCTGCCTGTATTACAATGTCCTGTTGAGTATTTAGAAAATCCACTTAACTATCATTGCAAATTCTCTGAGTATACAAATATGCTCTTTTCTTTCTTTCATATCTCTAATAGAATACCCATGCCATACATTTACAAAGTTCTTACACAGTTACTTTCTCAAGACCTTATGAAGTAGGTAGAGAAAGTATTATTCTTGCCATTTACAGAAGAGACATCAAAGGGTTAAATGACTTGCCACATATCTACTTAGTGGCATAGGCAAGATAAGGACCCAGCTCTCCTGATTCTTAGCCTCATACCCTTTCCACTAGATCATGCTGCCTTCCCTAATATTAAGCAACTTTATTTTCCCCTGTATATTTAGTATCTCCTTCCATTTGGGGTTAACTTCATCTTCCTCATCAAGACTTTTCCATTCAAGGTTGATTTATAACTTTGCTTTCATTTTCTCCCTGTCTAATCTTGACCATCCTCCTCTCCCTCATTATTCTTCTGGTATACTTCTCCCACCCTTAGCTCCCTACCTTCTTTCCTACAAACTTTCTTTTGAAACAACCTCCCATTTTTTTCTTCTTTAGGCCCCATTTTCTTAAGCTTATTTTTGCAGTTTCTGTTAGCCCTGACTACACAGTTTTCTTGGTCTACTCTCATGACCTTGACTATATTTATCTGAAACCATACCATAAGCTCATCAGAAAATGGACTTGCACAATTCTTTTAAGTGTCACATACGATTTAAAACTCTGATAAACAGGACGCTTACTGTAAGTAGCAAAAATGATCATCAATAGTAGTCAGATGGAATGAGCACACTACACCTCCATAGTCTTCTAAACAGCTAAGAAATCTTGAGATCTTTTCGCAGGATCATAGATCAAGAGCTGGAAGGAATGTGGGAGGGAAGAATCCTCTCATTTTACAAATGAGGAAATTGAGTTCCAGAAAGATTAAGTGACTTACCTAAGGTCGCATGTGTAGTATCAGAGATGGGATCTGAAGCCAGGTCCTCTGACCCTGGAGCCAGTGCTATTTCTCCTATTATCTACCAGCTTCCCTCTCTTGAAACTATCTATCAAGACATTTACACTTCTATTCATATCTTCCCAAGGTTGACTCTAGTAGATGACAGCTAAGTACTGTCTCCCTGACTTTACCATTTATTATAATTCCTTGAGGTGCTGGGTCAGTATTCTCACATGTCTGCATTATTGCTGGAGGCTAGATTCCAACAAACATCTACAACAGTATTGTATTTGTAATGATAGCATTTATTTTTACATCACCTACTTTTCAAAATATATTCCTCCACTGAAACTGTATTTTAAATGATTTTTTTTCCTTTTTACATTATCACCTGAAAGAACTGGATCTGAATTCCCCTCTTGCAGCTTTCTGTGGATACCTCTCATCACTACAACTACATATGGCAGGACTATAGTAATGAGGAACACTATCCACAGAGACATGGAGTGTGTGCATGCGTGCCACACCACACACACACACACACACACACACACACACACATTCACTCTTTAAAAATGGCAAGCCTGAGGGCAACACCATAGAGAATTGTTAATGACTAAGTAACTTATGTTTAACTTCACCTGTTGTTTTTTATTTGAAAGAGTTGAGTGAGGAAGTTTCCTTTAAACTTCAATGTGTAATATAAACACGAAGGTTTTTTTTTTTCTGTTGGATAGGTGGCATAGTGGATAGAGTGCAGATCTGGAGTCAGCAAGACTCATCTTCTGAGTTCAAATATGGCCTCAGACACTTAATAGCTGGGTGACCCTGGGCAAGTCACTTAACCCTGTCTGCCTCAGTTGCTTCATCTGTAAAATGAGCTAAAGAAGGAAGTGGCCAACCACTACAGTATCTCTGCCAAGAAAACTCCATATGGAGTCATGAAGAGTCAGACATGACTCAAATGACTAAACAGCAACAATGTGTTTCTGCCCACTTGTAAGGATTTTGAAAGACCAATGACACCTCTGTCTATTGTTGCGGATTGGCTCTTATAACAATCATAAATACACCCCCCAACACACATATCTATCTATCTATCTATCATCTATCTATCTGTCTATCTACATATATTCATATATGTGTATATGTGTGCATCTCTCTCTCTCTCTCTTTCTCTCTCTCTGACACACACACACACACACACACACACACTCTATTGAATTTAAGCAAGCTTCTATTCCTGCAAGGAAGCAATTATTTCAGTAAAATATTTATAGTGCCAGTATAAATGTGCCTATTATGTGTTAATTTAAAGCTTTGTAATAAAAAAAATTCTTGTCCTTAGAAATATAGAAATCCATCAGATGAGTTTCTGCTAACCCACTTCCCTTGGTCATTGTGCCAATGGCCACAGGGACATTGAGTTAAAATTCTGTGTAGCTTAGAAACACTTGGAATACTACCAGTCTTCTGATACCACTCTAACATGGTCCCATAGATAATAAGCAAAAACATCCCATTTCAAGAGTTACTGAGTCCCCTTTCAAAATATTTTTGACAATTCATAGATTTTTATATTTGTTGACTGCTGAAGAAATGTTTCCTATGTAGCCTGGGGAAAGTGGTAGGTTCCAAGAAATTGTTAGCAGGATTGGAATCCAGAAACTCAGCATGCTAAGTGAGTCCTGGCCATGGCTGTATTTGGATAAGCCTCAAGATATCCTAAGCACAGACCAAAAACCATGTTGTCTTTATAAAAAAGGTGTCTGATTCAAACATTATTTTAGGCCATTGAAAGGCTTTTATTAAAATTAAAGAATCACTGATTATCCAGGAATTAGATAGGGTTCCTCCCTCCTACACACCCTATAGGTCATAAGAGTTTTTCAGTTCCTATTAAACAAAGGCAATAAAAGCTTTAGGGAACATTCTATACTAATCCTGGATTTTATCTTTCTTTCTTTTTTTTTTTTTTTTTAGTTTTAATTTTCATTAGCTACATTACAAAGGAAGCAATGATATCATGACTTTAGGTGGAGTACAATGACCCACTTGAGTACAGGAAAAATGAAATTCTTTAGAGTAGAACTATATCTACTGCTGTAATCTAGGGGTGTGGGAAGGGATAAGGATGGTAGGGAAACAAGACCAAACTAACTTGTGATGCTAAGTGTAGCCATTGTGACTCATATTTCCTATAGTTTATTAAATCCATTTAAAGTTAGATTTTTTGAACTTCCTCAAATCATTTCAGGTTATGGGAACTAATTTTGGTATCTTCTATTCTGAAAGCAATAAAGTGAGAAATAGAATCCACTGAAGCTATCCCATGCATCTTATCTGGTGTCTGTTTCTTTCAGAGATTCTGACCTGTTTTTGCTGGATACCAGAGTAGTATGGGCCTCAGAAGAAGGATGGTTAGAATTTGATATCACTGCTACCAGTAATCTGTGGGTGATGACTCCACAGCATAACATGGGACTCCAGCTGAGTGTGGTGACCAGAGATGGTAGGTTGTAGCACAGCATTTATTAAATGCTGGGCATGTGGTCTTTGACATTCTTATTTACAGAGGCTGGTTGTAATATTATTATTTTCAGTCAATAATCAAGGTTATTGTTCCCATATAATTTCATTTTATAAAATTCCTTCTTCAGGTATCATAGAGAGATCAGATTACATTCACCAAGCAGGCTGGGCAAGTTTCTGAGAGTGGCTTGGGTAGGACAACTTTTAAAGCAGAAACAGGGAAGAAAAGAATAGGAATGTGGAGGAGGTGCAGGAGGCAGACAGGAATAGAAATTTTATTTCTGGACCCCCAAGCAAAATTGTATTGGGGTATGATGGGGATGCCAATTCGCCCTCCCAAAAATATCCTCGATATGCTCTCTGGGATAACTTCTCTCCCATCTCTAAACCTTCAAAGGCATTTAAGCATTATCAGGGCTTTGTGGTAAGTACCTATACCTTTGGGTAAGATAGGAGATTAAAAAGAAAGAAATCGGTGTGACTGGTGAGAGAAAATCTTTAGAATTCATAGCATCATATGTATTAGAACTACAAAGAGTTTTAGGAGTCATCTGGTCCAACCCCTTAATTTTACAGATGAGAAAACTGAGGGTCAAAGAGTGACAAATCCTACCACTAATTCATATTATCTGTGTGATTTGCCTGTAGTGATAGAAATATTATGTATCAATGGTAGCATTTGAACCCAGATAGTCCTGATTTCAAGGCCATCATTCTATCTACCACTTACCACTATATCCACCACCTCCACTACTCACTTTGACTAAAGAAATGTTAGAAGTTAAAGTTTTTCCTTTGTTGCAACCACCCATTTGAAGGGTATCCAGTTGTGTATTAGTATTATTCCTTTCCCCCAAAATACTTTCCCCTAAATATTCCACTTTTGTGGAGCCTGGGAGGCAAACCAGGATAAAGGGTAGAGGGGCAAAGGGGAGAGAATTGTGTAAGAATAATCTTACTCAGAGGAATAAGAAAATGTATTTGTTCTTCTTCCTTTAAAGGCCTCAATGTCAACCCAAGAGCTGCTGGTCTGGTGGGCAGAGATGGTCCTTATGACAAACAACCCTTTATGGTAGCATTCTTCAAAGTGAGTGAGGTTCACGTACGTACCACGAGATCAGCAACTAATCGACGCAGGCAACAGAGTAGAAATCGCTCCACTCAGTCGCAGGATGTCTCCAGGGTTTCCAGTGCCACTGGTAGGTTTGGATGGTCACTCTTTCTCTCGAGAGTCCAGGTTGGCTTTCTGATCTTAGCTTTTCTGTGTTAGTGTGATATACCTAATTATTAAGAGATTTCAGTGCTGAACCACTTCCACAAGTAATTGGAAAAGATTTCATACACTGACTATAGCTGATAGTGTTTATTGTCATGAATCTAGTCAGTAGATTCTAGTAACAAGGATTTTTAACCTTTTTTATATCTTGAACACCTTTGACAGTCTAGTGAAGCCAATAGACTCCTCAGAATGTTTTTAAATACATAAAATAAACTATATAGGATTACAAAGAAAACCAATTTTATAGAAATGCAATTATCAAAAAAATATTTTTAAAAACTAACTTCATGGGTCCTAGGCTAAGAACCCCTGATCTAATGCAAATACGTGAGATTCATTTCAGCTTTATATTTATCCAGATTTTGGATGCCTTCACTCGACACATCAAGACTAGGTGTTAGGATTTTGGAATTGCCTGAAGGCTGGAGAGGTATATGTCACTTTCTGTAGTAGGATTCTTTTCTATTTTGTTAGATTTTTCTAACACCTCTCCTCTGCAGGAGAGAGATCCCAAATTATGGGGTCAATCACATGAATTTCATTCTAGTTCCATCATGCTTTTCTTCAACTTTAACATTTCAAGAATCTGTTATTTCATTGATGTAGGTATTTTCACCACCAATTCAACGCTGAAAATCCTCTATGACTTAGAAAATGGTCTTTGAGATGTAATGTGGCTACCCTTCAGCTAGCCTGGTGATGAACCTGTCAGAATGTAGCTAATCTGGAAGATATGCAGTCCATCATGACATCCATACTTGTCATCTTCCAATTTGGTAGGACATACTGAAGTATAAAATCAGCTGCTATAGACTTCAAGAACCTAGAATTATCACCCTACTCTAATGAGCAGTTATCTGACAACTTACAAAAATCTAGACATCTGATGTTGTTAACTTGTTGGCACTCCTTAGTAAGAGAGACCAAAAAGTAAGATGGTACCTGGAAGCGGTATGTTTTTGTTATTTGTAAGGAGATCAATTCAGATGATCACTTTGAGAACAGACCTAAAATATCACTTCTTCTCTGAGCCTTAATTTCTTTATCTGTAAAATGGGTAGGGGTTAAACTAAATGACCCCTAGGGCCCCTTCAAGTTTTAATTCTATGATGCTATGATTTCTTTAAACTCTAACAGTCTACAAGGTATTGGTCTTTCCCTCAGAGTTATAGGGATATCCCTGAGGGGTTAGAGTGTCTTTCAATTTTTTAAAAATCCATTTTATTAAAAAAAATTTTTTTTTAAATCCATTTTATTGTTATCTTTTTATTTTACATACTCTTAGTTTCCCCCTATATCATTTATTTAGGTAAAAGCAGGAAGATTTTTAAAAATCAGTCAATAGACATAAAAAAATATGATGAGATATATATTATTCCATGTCCTCTCCCCCCCACATGCACATAGCAAAGTAATAGAGGCAAGCATATTCTTTTATCTCTTCTTTGGGGTGAAGTTTGTCCCTTACAGTTTTGTAACATTCATTTTCAATTGTTTCACGGTTATTGTTCTTTCTATTTACATTATTATCATCAATGTATTATTGTTTTCTTGGCTCTGCTTACTTTACTTTTCATCAGTTACTATAAAACTATTTCTCATCAAATCAAAATAATACTCATCAAATCTGTCATTTCTTACAGCACAGTAATATTCTATTACATTCATGTACTACCATTTGTTTAGCCATTCTTCAATTAATAGGCATGTACTTTGTTTTCATTTTTCTTCTACCACAAAGTGCTGCTATAAATATTTTGTTTTGTATGGGACTTTTCTTTTTATCAACAACTTTCTGTGGGGTATATAGCTAGTACTGGAATATCTGGATTAAAGGGTATTTTCATTTTAGCCACTTTATTTGCATAATTCCAAATTGATTTCAAATTCAAAATTGATTTCAAAAGTTGTATAAATTCACAGCCCTATTAATAATGCATTAATGTGCCTATCTTTCTGTTAAATTTTTCTAATACTATCAGCTGAAGTCTCCATTCTAGTGTGTTCATACCAGTATCAACCTCTAGTTATAGTTAGTGTCTCCCTTATTTCATTGCTTAACCCACTGATCAGCTACCCTGTGTCATTTAACAATTAACATCAGTGAGATTTTACAAGAGTATATTAACTGAGAAGATATAGTAAGAACAGAAGTACAAAACACCAGCCGTATGTCATTCATGCCAACAACTTCACTTCCAATTATGGCATAATCCAAGGACAAAGTCACTGTAGAAAATAGCATGTCACCTGCTGGGTCCAATTCATTGCTGGGATATGATGGCAGCAAACTCTGGCATGGTTTCCCAACCATGGACCTCTGGCAGCTCTCTCAACATTTTGAAGCTCATTAGTTCTCAACCTAGTCTATTCTATCTCCCTTTGGCAGAATAGAATAGAAACAACAATAGAGCTTTGTGTTCATGGCTTCATTAGAACTCTCCCCACCTGGAGGTTTATATCAGTTCTCTCATCCTTACCTGAATGTAGCCAGGCAGGAAAGAGAGAATCTCACTTTGTCCACTTTTGAAGTATGCCTTTTGAAGGCATACCTAGGCTTGTCTCAGCAGCCAATCCGAAGTCTATTTCTTCACCACATGGTTAGGGGGACCAAAAACAGTCACAGAATACCTAAACATGTTCTGAAATAGACAGCAAACTTTCCTTTTCCCCACCCTACCCACGTGTCATCCTCTCTGCTCCCAATTCCATGTCATCAGGTACTTCTAGAAGCACGCTCATTAAATTCACATATTCCCAGGACATAGCCATCATTGGCCAGCCTCCCGTCACACACGCTTTCTAGAGTACGATTGCCCCCATATCATTAATTTTCACTGAAGATTGTTTTGCTGAGTAACCTCCTGTAGTTAAGGAGTGTAGGAATGAAAGATGAAGGTGAAGAGAAGAGATTTTCTCCCCTCTTGTTTGCACCTTCTTCCTTGGGAGCAAGTGAGATACCACATTAGCACTACAGGTTTCTCATGCTCTAGTTAGTTGTTTCTTTTGTTATTTTTAATGGATACTTCAATGGCCTGAAAGAGTTAATCAACTTTACAAGTTTCCCATTTCCTTTGGAAGAAGCTCCTTTGCTGGTAGAATCTGGTTTAATTCATCATTTGTTTTTACCAGTACTTAACTCTGGGACTTGAGGATCTGCAGACTGTTGGGACATAACATTTTGCTTGTTGTTATCCTGGCATCCTTTGGAAGTGTTTCACAGCATGGGTGTTCCTGTGCTTGACATTGGAACAGTTAGGGTTGGGGTAAGGGAAAGGGGAAATGCTTTCTGTTTTTCCTGCAGAAGAAATCTGTTGAATATGGTTAATAATGTTGGTGCTTTCTACTAGGCAGTGGATCTTTTCTAGTCCCCCTTAATGTTAGCATTTTTCCTCTGTTGATTATTTTCAGTTTAACATGTATTTATCTTGTTTGTACATAGTTGTTTGCATGTTGTCTCCCCCTATAGACCATGAGTTCCTTGAGAGCAGGCACTGTCTTTTGTGTTTCTCTGTATCTCTTGTGCACAGTGCCTGGCACATAGGAGGCACTTAATAAATGCTTACTGATTGACTGTTGGAATATGTTAGGAAGTCAATAGCTATTTAACTTGGGTTCATTCAGATGAATTTTGGGCAGCTTTGTTGCTGACTAGAGGGATGCCAGAGACTGAAACAACCACGGACAGGTTTGTTACCTTTTTTCAGATAAAAATTTTACTTGCTTTATTCTTCTCCCAATCTTCCTAATCCCTCACCCTAATTTTTCATTGTGAAAATATGCTGTCCTGGGTACTTTCATTTTCATTTTTTAAATTCCCCTAGATTCTATTAAATTTGATGGGTTTATAAGTTGAATATGAATATTAAAATTTTATTTATTAATAGTAAGACATAAGCATTAGCATTATTTCCTTGACTTCTCTCCCAACCTTTTATTTCTTGAATTTTCCTTTTGTAATAACACTCAAGCAAGTGTCTTTATCAAGAGTCTTTGAAATGGCCAAAGTTTGCAGGTGGTTTCTGCTGTCAATCCATTCTCTCTAAAAATACCCTTTTCCTATATACTAAAGGGGCCCTCCTTAAATCATAAGGATGCATAGATGACAGTAGCCATGTATCCACAGACAAATGAAGTGACACAATATAGAATTGTCTTCCACACTTTTCTTCTCTTACAATCTCACTATAGGCCTATAGAATCATAATATTTAGAGGAGAATGGGATCTTAGAGATTATCTAGCCCAACTTTCTTATTTTACAGATGAGGAGAAAGAGTCCCAAAGAGGTGAGGCGGCTTGCCAGTGGTCATGTAAATTGGCAGTATAGTTGAGATTAGAACCTAGGCCCTCTCAAAGAAGACTCATGATTTAGAGCTAGAGGGCCACCTTAGAAGTCATCTAGTCCCGCTTCTCATTTTGTAGAGAATGAAAGTGAGGTCTGGAGAGATGAAATGATTTGCCCAGGATCACACAAGTAGAAAGTATGGAGCTATAATTTGAACCCAGTCCTCCAACTCAAAATCCAGCAGAGACTCAGTTTCAGTCCCTGGGCTGCATTTCAGGCAATATTTTTTCTTTATGAAAACCTTTCAAAAGACGTGAGGTAGAGATTATTTTGCCTCTGCTGCCTCCATGCTCCTCCTGAATGAGCATATCTTCACCCAAACAATAACCACAAGAAACCCACCAGAGATTGTTCTGCATCTGGGTAAAGGAGTTACCATAATTCATCACGCTGGCTGTCATCAGGCTAGAACATGACAGTGAAATATGTGGATATTTTTGGAACATAACTGTTTATGCTTGAGACTGCAGAGCTCACTCACAACAATAGAAAGGCCAAGAATCCTCCTCCCACTGCTGTTGTAACATCTGTACTTTGCTTTCAAGCTAGGCTTTCAAAAAACAAATGTACTGG